GCACCTATCAATGGCTGTTCATCAGCCTCAGCCTCCAGGCCTCTTCCCTGTTTGAGCTCCTTTCCTAACTTCCTTCAAAGATGAAAGGTGATATGAAAATATAAGCCAAATAAACCCTTTCTTCCTCAAGTTGCTTTGTAATGGTGTTTCATGATTGCTAACTAGGTCTGTGTTATTTTCTTAACCTGGTTTACCTGGCCTACAATATACATGTTAGCAGAAGTCAAATATTTACTCCCTCATTCTATTGAACTAAAGAGGCATTGTTGAGAACATGCTGGCCCTACCCTACCTTGTTACATTTTTATGTGAAATCTTGTTTTTTTTTTTTTTTTAGATTGTGTCTCCTTGTGAGTGGTACCATTTTATAAGCAACTTTTGACTCCATCTTGAAAATGGTAGATGGCTTTGTGTCTGGGTTGGCACATGAATGGCCAGCACCATTCATACAGCACAAATGATTAACTTGTTACTGGGAGTAGAAAGGGTCCTATTCATAAATGTATTGGGTAACGTAGGACACATGAGCATATTGATATAGTCAGGAAAAATATTCCTGAGAATTCAGAACATACATCAGACAGAGAAGATGCTACAGCTCCCTCATCTGGACTCCATGAAGAGACCTAGCCCTGGGGTTGTAAAATCCAGTTGGACTGTTATTTGACCACTACATATATGCAGTAAGACATCAACAGTCAGAGAAGCTCACTGCCTCAGGTGCTTTGGTTTGATTTAGCCTCTGTTTTTGATGTGGCCTCATTCAAGTTGCTGTCTACCTGTCTTCTGTTCACCTGTCCATATTTGCTGTCCATCTTTTTTCTTAGTTTGTTAGAACCTAGTTCTCTCCTTTTGCCTCTGCTGCTAGACTCTATAGCTCAACTCTGACCCTGCTGTCTGACTCTGGCAGCAGTCCAAATGCCTTTCAGATCATCCTGCCACCAGACTCCTCCATTCCTGCATTAATTTCCTAGTATCTCTGAGACTGCTTGCCTCTTCAGCTCCTCATAGTCATTTTGTGATCTACATTAATAGCTACATATATGTATGCCGATTTGCCATGTGATGTGTAGTTTGTGGTGACGGTTAATATTCGTTACTAATGTTAATTAAAATTGGATTAGCAGAACCCGTGCTCGCCTATCAATAAAGCCATTGTATCTTGCAAACTAGACATTGTGGGAAGGCATAGCCATGTCCATATATGTTTCTGACCAAATGTTCTTACAACAGAAATGTTCTCACATCATTCTGTCCTTCTATTATTATTGTTATGCATATGCCCTCTATGTGTTACCAGCTGAAATCCACTGTTAGAATTATTAGCTCATTAGCTCTTCTAGAAGGTGGAGGAGAGAAGTAAACAGGAACGTGTGGTTTCCATTTTTTGTTGGGGATTTTTGCATTGTGGGTCACCGTATTCATGTTCCCATCCACTGTAATCTCTTTACATGTTTATCTCTGTTCATTTTTTTGTTTTTTGTTTTAATTGCATTTTAATGGGCAGATTATGTATTTACTATTTAATTCAGCTGGTTTTTCAACCAGTTAATAAAAGAAGGGAGGACATTTCTATTTTTCCCTGGTGCTGATGCTTGAATGATGATCTTTTTCCTGCATAAGAGTCGCTGTTGGTCATTTTGTTTAGACTGAAGAATATCATGTATAGTCTGTAAAGTGAGCTGGCTAGCTCACTCGTTTCTTTTTTGTTTTTTAATTTCTTCTTTTGAGGTGTTGGTTCTGTGGCTGTAGACTAGATTCACTGTGGCTGCTGCCCCACTGTCTTCTGGCTCTCTTACTATCTCTTGGGGAATAACTGTTGAGCTATAGAGAGTCATGTTAATTCTTGCAACTCTGAATCCTAGGATTTCTATTGGCAAAAGAAAGTATCTGAAAACCTTGTTTCACTTCAGACATGATCCCCTTAGTTTTCTGAACACAGTATCAAGAGGTGCTTTGAAACCTACATGTTTACCTGAGGGCAGTTTCTGTGGCTTCCCTAGGCCCGTCATGTACCAGTCAGACTGTTATCTTTGGCTACAATGCTTTATTAAGAATGGAATGTGTTCACAAATATGTGTTTCTACTTCCAGATACTGGCTGGTTCTTACTGTCTACCTTTCCAAGAAATGTTGTTTGATTGTTTTATGACTTGGCACTCTACTTGAGTCTTTTGCACAGAAAGCTTCAAATGTCGATCTCTCAGAGGTCAGAAAGTTGGGCTTGTGGACTCAGGTTGAGATGGCAGGGTTTGGCCTAGTTGGCTCTGACCGCTTTGGTTTCTCCGCATGCTGCCGACTGGTATCACTCCTGGCTGTTTAGCATCGTCCTTCAGGAGCTGTGCAGCTCTATTTTTCATAATGCCCATGGCACACTTCCTCTTCAGTCTGACCCAGTTAATCACTGGCCTTTCGGCAGGGCTAGGTTTAAGACCAATGTTTGAAGTTTGTTTTGATCATAGTGGGTGGGAGCTTTGTTAGCTGTGCTTCCTGCTTTCTGTGTCTTCTGGTAAATAGCCTTAAACTTAGCTTTGTTTTTCTTTTCTTTTCTTTTTTTTATTTATTCTTTCGCAGATTCCAGTATCCTCTTAATTGCTTCTTATAATCTCCTTTTTCTAAGAATAAACTTAGTCTGAATTTCTCTCTCTCTCTCTGAGGGGGAGTTTAATAGAACTTTAATCTCAGACCCCTTCTCTCCCTCTATACAATTCTTGTGCTACTCTCGAGCTGTGGGTGTGCAGAGTGTCCACTTTCTTTTGGAGTGGCACCTACTTCATTGTCCTAGTACCTAAAGAGAGCCTCAAAGAATCGGACTGCCTTCCTGTCAGTCTTTTCTAGCATAGAAACTCTGCTCTGCCTGTGAGCAGGAGAACATCTGGGCCACATTTGCACAGTTTCAGTGTCTGTACAAGGTGCTGAGTGGACCACTGCCTACTTACGTTTTCCACTATGAGCTGGAACCAGGGCTCTGTGCTTTGGTTTACATTGTTTTTGTCCTCAGCACCTCCAGCCCTCCTTTAAGCTCTGTCTACCTCTCTTGGAGCTGCTGTTACATTGAGCTGTGGGTGGAGTAGCAGTCACTGCTGAAGGGCCACATACACTTTTTATTCCCAACCAAGATTCAGATTTTTTCAAGTAAGTTTCCCATCTGCTGTAGGCCCCAGGACAGTTCTCAGAGACTTTTGGTGGATGCATTAAAAATACAGTTTATCATTGAAACAGATGGCTATAAGCTAATGTAAACAGGCAGCTTTTGTGGAAATTTACAAGCCTGAGTAGTCATAGACCTTGTAAATAGGTAGCCTGGGAAGACAATACCAACTTAGATAAGGACAAGCGAGTCATAGGCAGAGTCATAGTGACTTGTCCCCTGAACCTTCACCCAGCCAATACCAGGTTCTGATGATATCTGTATTCCCCCTGATCACCCACACTCCAGTGTCATTCCCTTCCCCACATCCTGCCTTTCTGTGTTTATAACCCCTGTGTGAATGAATTACGATTTGAGAAAAAATAAATTATTAAAAAAAAATACAGTTTATGCTATTCTCTGCCAGCTTCACTTCTTGACCTCCCAATCTGGGTCTTTCATATTCTCTTTCTGTTTTTTTTTCCCTTTCATTATGGCCTGGCATGGAATTCTAGTAGTGCCTGTACGTAGCTGTAGTGGAAATTTAATATTTTCCTTAAAAGTTAGGGTGCACATGTCTCTTTCCCATTTTACCCTCAACCCCTTGTTGCAGGTCGTAGGTATGAGTCCCTTCACCTCTGGCTGTCTCACTTTTGCATTTGTGTCTAGTCGGCACGTTTGACTTAATTTGCTGGAAACAGTGAAGCAGTTATAAACTGTCTCCTTGGCTCATTCGTTTGCTCTGTTTTCAGTCAACTCCCTGGCTTCTGTAAAGTACCCCGTGGATTGCCTTGATCAGGTGATGATCTCTTCAGAGCCCACTTGTGCTCTTGGTTTATTAGTCACGAGCCAAGATAATCAGGTAACAATTCTGTGGAAGAAATGCATGTTGGAGTAAAGATACAAAGGTTTAGTTGACCGCCCACTTTGGATGCTTCCTTTGAGGCTACTTCATTGAGGTAGCTGTCTGGTAAGGGAGCACACTGCAAGGGGAACCCTAATGAAAGTAAATGGCAGATGGTCAGTCACGAAGGAGTCATCCTTCACATACAGTTTAGTTGCAGCTGTTAATAAGACAGGGCTTCCATTGTAGACATGGAAATGAGTGGACGCCTTGGCTGAGGAAGTGGTGCCCAGACCTTATATTTGAAAAGAAATGTTTGTAAAATGAATTAGAGCAAGACATAAATTCTTTGTTATTCAGGTTGTTTAGTCTCAAAGTGGGGATCCTGGGGAGTTTGTCTCTTTAATGATCCAATGTGTAAATTAAGTTTTCTGAAAGCACACTCATTTCTAAGCATTCATTGGAAACTCATTTCACAATAGTGTCTTTCTTTCCCTCGCATCTTCAGGGAAAACCCCATTGTCCTGTGACATTCCTTTCGAGAGTTTGACCTCAGTGACTTAGGATGGAAAGGATTTTTATTTCATTTATTTATGTGTGTGTGTGATGTGTAAGGGTGCATGTGTCACACTACGAAAAAGAAGGTCAGGGGACCACGTGTGGGAGTCTGTTTCCTTCGTCTACCAGGCCGGTCCTAGGGATCAAACCCAGGTCATCTGGCTTGATAGCAAGCACATTTAGTTACTCACTGAGCCAATTTAGCCTGCTTGATAGAAATAAAATTGAGTATACAATAAAGCAATATTCCACCTTGAAGTGCATGGAATTGCCATTCTATGAAATTTATTTTCAGAATTTTAGATGCGAATTGTGGATTGAGCAAACACTCTTGTTTACATGCTTCTTTCTCAGGAGAGACTGTGGAACGTGTGAAGTCTGTTTTTGGAAGAGATGTTGAATTTAGAGTTTTCCTTCAAATGCTCTGTACGTAAAGTAAATATGCATTTTCCCTTTGTTTGGCTTACAGGCAGCAGGAGCAATTCGACCCCTGGTGTCCACTGTCATCAGTCCCTCTGCTGATGGTCACTTAGACCACTCACTGGACCGTGCCAAGCACAGGGCAAGCGAAATGCCCCAGGCTTTTCTCTTTGATGTGATCTATGAAGCATATCAGCAGGTAAGAATCTGGGCTTTAAAAAGCTGCTGGGTCTGTCGTGGTTTTTAAAATTGTGTCCACATTTGAATTTTGAGAGAAACCTGTGAGACTCAGCATATAGCCACCCTCAAGGCCAGTTTGTATTAAACTGGAGTAATAGGGACATTCTATTGGCTTAGAACAGACACTCAGGCCATGCATCTGGCAGAATCCTTTTGGAAGCTGCTTGAGCTCTCTTTCCTTTGATGGGTCAGAGAAAACACTTCCTGGAGCAATGAAAGTGCAGGAATGCGGGTGTAATGCTTGAAAGTCCATTAGAGGCTCAGAGCCCAGGGGCTTTGTTGGGGTTGGTCACATACATGTCCTCTGGCTAGCACTTACAGAAATTCCAGTCTCCAGCGGACTGCAGATGCTCAGTGTAAACAGTGCTATACATTCAGACAGTCCAAGCACAGTGAATCCACCATAACAGAGCCTTCCCAAACACTGTGCCACGCCTACCTTACAAACTTGTCTTCTTGAGGAGAATAGTTTTAGGTCCATTTTGGTAAATTTTTTGGCACAGGTACCTAGACAGCTTAACTAAATATTTAACTTAAGCAACTATAAAAATATCATCCCACAAATTGATACTAGAATATGTGGTTTTTTCTTTCATTTGAAAACCCTTTGTATATATATGCTTTTATTGGTATTGGTTTACATATTTGAATAAGTCATTATTGAGTATCATACATTGATCTATCAGAAACTTCTCAGTGAAACACAATGGATTAATTCTGTGCTTGATTGGCATTGGGTAATCAGTAAATGTGTTGAAAGAGATGAGCTATTAGGGTTATAGGATAATGGTAACAAATACATTTAAACTAATTATACATTTATACTAATTATACTATTAGTATGGTTATTCACATACACACATTCAGTTATCAGTACTTGGTTCCTGTTAGTTTTAGAAAAAGATTATATAGAATTTTACTTTAATGAGAAATGCAGACAGATTTCTTTTCTTTAAAATAATTTGGAATACAAGACATTTACTTTGAGAATTATATTTTAATTATACTTATTATGCTATTTTGAATTTCTCCAAGTTGAGTTCACATATCCCATTTCGTAGACTGGATGTTGCTGAGCTACATTCTGCCATTGGCACATTTCTGAAGTTTGTGAAAGTGTTTATTAACTTTAATATATACCCTTCTATGTTGTTGTAGTCTGAATATGAACTGTCTACCACAAGTTCATGCATTGACTACTTGGTCCCAATCTGGTGCTGCTGTGGTAGGAGTCATAGGAACTTTATAATGGAAGCTGGAGGAAGCGGGCATAAGGCTTGTCCTGTTCTCTTTTATTTTACTTTTTAGTTTTTGAGATAGACTCTCATAGCCCAGTAGGACCTCAAACTATCTGTATAGACCAGGCTGGCCTTGGACATCTGTGCTGGAGATATTAACATGAATCACCATGTCTGTCCTGCTCTCATTCTGAATCCCTGCCTCTGCTTTTTGACTATGAGTGGCTCTTTCTTTGATGGTAGGCTGGAACCTTTGGAGTCCTGAACAACATTTGCCCTTCTTCCTTTAAGTCATTTCTCTGAGGTATTTTTGTCACTATAACAATGAAAAACCCAAGACATGAAATGTAGTTTTGGCAACTGGGATAATTTAGATAGTGTAGTATGAAATACTAATATTTTCAATGGATTTGAAGGTAAAACTGGAACAATTCTCCCAGTAGATTGTGTCTCACATATCAAAGATGAGAAATAGTCATTAGCTCAAATATTTGTTCTGAGAGACTAGGATGTAGGCATCGTTATTTGAGATGGAATGAAGGTTTTGGAAGATTAGAACTAGAATCTTGAAAGATTACTTGTAGACTTACGTGTTAGGCTGGAGGATTTGGGAAAAAGGCAAGATGGCCTGGGCCGAGAGGTCTGGATCCTTCTCTTCTGACCAGGAGCTCACATATGCAAAGGCCCACCCAAACAATAGACACTACCAGCTCCTAGTTCCGGATTCCAGTGTGACTACTAGATCTAAGACTCACATCCAAGTCTTGCCAAAAACTTACCAAATAAGGATGTAACCCTATATAACCGCACCATCATGTTACAACTCCCCACCCCCTAATCCCCTTTAAGAAGCCCCTACCCCAGCCTAACCTTGTGACTTTTCTGAACCTGCCCAAGAGCTGCCCCATTAAACCTGACTTTTTACTATAAATTTAACTCAATTTGATTTATGTCAGTGGGGAAGCCATTTAATATGATTGAGTGCTAAGAAAGTGTAATAAAGAGTAAACTGCTTCTGCCAAAAATGCAGAATCTTTACTTCCTCGTGGAATGTTTGATGAGTTAATTAATAGTAGGATGATGTTGAAAGTTCTTCCTTCATTTTGTATCTCCCTTCTTTATTGCTTCAAAACTTGGGATCAGATCCTGACCCAACTGTGCAAGTAAATGTTAGTCGTCTAATACTGTGCACAGAAATCTTCCCTTCTGGAGCTGAAGACTCCATACTAGACGAACTAAGGTATTTTCAACGGATTCTCATTTTCCAGCATCTACAATATTCTCCTCCAGAACCCTGGAGTTACGTCTATAAGTTTTCAGTCATTTCCCCAAGCTTTTCAGGGACAGGAGAGCCTCTCAGGCAGATCATCTCATGTTGAGGAGCAAGCAAAGATCAATGATCCCCTTTACTCTAAGCAGAACAGTATGGGAACCAAGTTACTACTTGTTTTAGAACCACACTTTTAATAGACAAACATCCGACAAACAAGAAGATTGGCTTCCTAAACATGGGCAGTTCTTTAAGCACCAGAGGAAAGATGGACCACAATTTGACAGAGACTGCTCAGCTCCTGTGCAAATATAGAACTTATATTAATGCCTGTAAGTGTCAGCACTTACTTACCAAGCCAGGGTTACCTTATTATGGTCGGAAGGAATGTCATCTATCAGGCATGGTTGGAAGGGTTTCAGAAAGACTGAGGTTGAGACTTTTTATACTCTTATCAGAACCGGTACAATGGTAATTGTTAGGACACTATGACATTTCCAAGATATACAGGTTACACATGATTAATATCTAAGATTAATGGTTTTGTGAAACTTCTACATGCTTCTCTGACTTCTAGCAAATGCAGAGAAACACAGGCAGCCTGCATACTTTATTGCCCATGAGAGGGCCTTGGTTTCTCAGGAACTGAAAAACACATAGTGTCCCTGGAGCTACAGACTCTAAATTAAATAACACTGTGATGCATGCCTGTCAATACAGCTAGACCGGGTCTCCATAATTCCCTGAAAACATCACTTAGGACATGAACCAGCTGATTTTTCTAATTCTGTTTATTTTCTTCCTTGACTACTTTCCCTTTTTCCTTCCTTCCTTTCTTCCTTCCTTTCTTCCTTCCTACCTGCCTATCTATCATCTATCTATCTATCTATCTATCTATCTATCTATCTATCTATCTATAATCTACTGTCTTATCATCTGCCTATGTATGTATGTATGTATGTATGTACATACGTACATATCTGTCTGTATATCTATGTATCTATGTATCTATGTATCTATGTATCTATGTATCCATCCATCCATCCATCCATCTATCTATCTATCTATCTATCTATCTATCTATCTATCTATCTATCTATCTATCTATCTGCATGCTTGAGCACACACATAAATATGTAAAATTTTCTTTTCTTTCTTTCTTTCTTTCAACATTACTCTTCTCTTTGCTTGTAGACATAATTTATTGGGATTCCCAAAAGTTGAGTCCACTGTGTCCTAGGACTTTAGAAACAGAGAAAGATTTAGCTAGACTTAGAGTTGCTGTCATATAGGTATTTAATGTTTTGGATTTGACCCAGATCATAAAATAAGTGAATGTCGAAAGAGTAGAAGAGAACAAAAGGCTGAGCCAAGGTTTTGAAGCTGTAGAGGAATTGTTATTTCATATGGCTGATTACTGTTTCTAAAAATTACCAGAAGCCCCATGCCTTAAAGCTCCAGTTTTATTCCTTTACAGTCCTGGAGGTGGGAAGTCTAAATCAAGGTGTTGACAGAATTGTGCCACTTCTGGAAGAGCTCCAGGGGACTTGCCTTCTGTCCTTCCCTTTCCTCCATGTTGCTTGCATTACTTGGTTTTGACCCTTTCCCTGCACCTTTAAGGCCACATACCCTGAGGTTCACTCTGTTCTTCTGCCTCTTAGGGATCCCTGTGATTTCTAGGACTCACTTGGACAATTCAAGATAATTTCCTTGTCTCATGATTGTTAATCACACTGTCAAAACCCTTCGACATCTATCTGTTAATAGATTTATGGGTTAGAGCATGGGCATCATTGTACAGAAAAACTTTGTACAGCACACCACAGTGATGAAGAATTACGGCTCAGGGGAGAGATGATTGTTCATGTAGCCAAGCAGGTCACATCCCAGAACCTCAGTGAAGGAAATTCTTGGCATGATGGAACCCTTGTGCTGAGGGATAGATATGGATTTATGGAAAATCGTGTTCATGGATCTTAGCAGATTGCTGATCACCATCACTAGATTGAGAGTAGTGCTTGCTGTACGTGAAAACCTGGATTGAGTTAATTTCAGGTAGAATACAGTACCAGTTTTGGGAAGGAACATTGGCATATTTAAGTAGGAAAGAAGTGGGTAGGTACAAGCAGTTTGAGATCAAGATAGCTAACCTAACAGCTCACTGACGGAAACGGTTCACTAGCAGACAACATTGCAGTGAGAGATGGACTCCTGTGGTAAGGGTGTTAGCTCTAGGGAGCAGATCTCTTATACATGGAGGGGTTGTGAGCAGCATATTTAGGCATTTGAATAGTAAATACTGATGTTTCTTTCTTTCTTCTTTCCCCATCTTCTTTTTGTGCTAGAGATTGAACCCAGGAACTTGTACATGCTAGGTAAATACTTCATCAGCTTTTACTCTCAAATTAAGCCTAAGCACGCACACACACACTTTTCTGGTTACAAAAGTAA